AAAAATAAATTAACAAATAAAAACTTTAAGCTTACAAGATTTGTGACATTTGTAATATGGGTTTCCAATTCTAACAAGTACAGAACATGACATTTTTAAATGTGGGACACGGCATTTAATGCTAGAGCCATTTCTCTTGCTGAATATTGGCTCCTCTCTGTTTTCTCAATGTTTAATTGTAGATCTCAGTGTTAAGTTCCACGTTAAAAATTAAAATTCATGCCAATATAATCCCTGGAGGTAGATCATCTCTTTCTAGTGCTATATCCGCTGCAACAACATGTTAAATGTACTGCCCTCTGGGTAAAAGCCTAACCGTGAACCACTTGGCAAGACTTTTTGAAATGACCATCAACAGTATCAGTTAGAATAGAATTCACCTCAGCAGCTCTATAGTACAGACTTCAGAACCTGAATAGAATAGGAGAAAAACAGTTTTGCATTAGATAATATTAAACGTGTTAATGTACCTTGCATATTCACCTCAGATTCATCTTTCAACCTGGTTCAGATGTTTCATGTATTGTATTTTGTTAACTTGGATTACATGCAATGGAACTCTTTATTCAAGACTAATTAGCTAATTAACTGATTAGTATGCAGTGACATGCTGGACTGTCCTGACACATCATAGCATGCCGTTTGACACTATTACTACTCAGTTTGTTAGCACAGTCTTACAATATGGAATTGCTGATGATATCAACTCAGCAATAACCTATTAGCTGATGACTGTGCTCCCAATGCTTTTGTTACATTAAAAGGCTATTAATTATTGACAATGTAATTATCATAGCATTGTTCCTAATATAATTAAAATGTCACTAATGGATCTTGGGACCTAATTAATACCACTCTTCTAACCTCTTAATCTGACACTTATTTATTTTAATAGTGGCTCTATTTTTCAAAAACAATATGATTCATCCCTGCTGGGGATTCACTCAGATTTGATTGCTTTCCACTGTGGTCTGATAATCTGCACACACACACTTTACAAAATAGACTGTCTAAATAAACTCTGAATGTCACTACCACTCTCTATGAAGGATATAATTTTAGACAACCACCTGTGAAAGATAACCACAAGCCTCCCTAGGTTTTATTCTCCAAAATTTTGTGCAATGGCAAAACCATAATTTCCAAAATTTCATAATTACCTCTAGCAGTAATAGGCAATCTGCATGACAATTTGTTTTATTGGAAATGTGTTTGGTTTGTCCCTGACTGAGAGGAGGTTATTGTGTGTAGATGTTAAGCCAGTCATAATGTAGTAATGTTGTTGTGATTGTCTCTAGGCTGCGGAGAGACCGGCGAGACTGGAATACTGCAGCCTGCTGGGTAACATGTCATTTCCAGCGCAGTGTGAAATCTGGGTGTGATAGGCCAATAGCGCCTGATGAGTAAACAAGTTAGGATCTACCGGCTAAAGTGTGTGGCAAACAGTGAGACACAGGCTAATATCTGCAGGCTAAGATGGCATTTAAAATTTAAATTCACCATAAAACTAAAATTGACCCTATTTGCATTCTTATTACACATCCTGCTTTTATTGTGAATTATTAAGTGCATGTTATTCCAAACAAAATATTTTGTCTAATTAAGTGTTCAGTAAAATGTAATAACGTTTTTTTAACCCCACTCCTCCAACCACCTGTCACGTAGGGACCATATTGCTCTTTTTGTACATAGTCTTGCACATTTGCATAGACATTGAAACCAGTGAAGTAACCATCATAGATATTGTGATGCTTCAGTTTTAACAATGAAACAGTGCAAGGTAAGTAACTAAACTTTTAATGTTTGATACAGCTTGTTGGTAACACTTTAGTTTAGGGACTAATTCTCACTATTAAGTTGCTTATTAGAATGCTTGTTACTAGCATAGTGCATATTTATTAGTATGTAGATCCCTTAATCCTTCCCTAAACTTAACAGCTACCTTACTAACTATTAACAAGCAGCAAATTATGAGTTTATTGAGGCAAATGTCCCAACTTGTGTGTGACCATGACCAACTTGTTTTATGATGTTATCAACAGTACTATCCAGTAATGCAAACTTTTTTCTCAATTTTAATTATTCTGAAATAAAAATAGCCTATATTATTTATGTGAAACAGGAAATGTAATTTGTAATTGAATATGAGACACACACACACAAAAAAACATTAACAGATCTGTTTTCAGCATATTAGGCATATGATTAACAAGAAATGTATGCATTTAAAAATATATTTAAAAAAATATATATTATATCAAATATATATTTTAAAAAGATCAATTGCATTACTTTACCATAAACTGCGGTTCTTATTTATTTATTTTTCTTTATTCTTTTGTTGGTCCCCCCAGTGTTTAACCAAATTATTGTCTTTGCACATTTATCTGACTATTAAATTTTTTATATTGTTGAGACATTGTTAGGTTTAGGGTAAATTTCGGGATATGGGCTCAAAAATACCTTGATAAAAGTAAAAATGAACTATACAAATATATTTATTTATAATATAATATGAAGGATTCATAAATATTTTTTTGTTTCAAATGCTTTGCATATTAAATAATTGCATGTTTTAAATGCTTTCAATACACCAATTTTGTCAACATACAAAAAGACAGACATGTCAATGTTAGATATGAATACCAATAAGACGAGACCAAACTGACGCTAAAGCACGCTCGCCCCATTGGAAACAGCTATAGAGAAAGAGGTCTGATTAACTGAAACTTTGCATGTTTCTAACAACCCTCCTCTGACCTGAGAAATCTCTGTAGGTCAGAACATCAACATGGTGTCTGTGACCCACCCCTCCTTCTGCTGACACGTTCGCCTTGGCGCTCTGGGCCCCTGACAGAGCAGGGACTGACCCTCAGTTGCTGCCCTTGCCTTATAACTCCTGGAGACAGTCAAAGGTCACGACGGGGTGGCAGCAGACAGCACTCCACAGATGGACGATGACTAGCTGTGCTCCTGTCACATCAGCATGCGGTGGTCTCCTCCTGAGAGAGTGAGGGAGATGAGATGAGAGGTAGACGGAGAGAGACCCCTTCCCCAGGTCTTAGTCAGTGGTAATGAAAGGACACAGGGGCAGGATGGGAAACATGTGAATCAGTCAGTGTTGGGGGTAACGCATTACAAGTAATGTGAGTTACGTAATCAGATTTTGTAATGCATTACTTTTAAAAGTAACTTTCCCCAAAACTGGAATCAGTGGTGTGCAAGCGAATGCCCTGAGGCACCTTGGCATTCACAGGCAGCTAGCATGTGGCAGAGAGTCAGGCAAAGTCTGTGCACGACACACACATACCCATGCGCTCCATCTATCCCTGTCTGAAAGTCACAAGCTGGGAACACAGCCAAATAAAGAAATCCAGGTTTTTTGTGGGATTGGAGCATGTCTATGTAAGCACGAGGGAAAAAGCGAAAGAACTTATTACAGTTCAAAAGTGGAAGACTTCAGAAGCCTGAGGTACAGTCACAGCAAACATTTGTTTGATCAGCATGTTGTCCGTGATCTGCACTGAAGACATGCACAAACAATATGGACACAAAGTAATCAGGTTATTTTTTATTTCTAATTTATACATTTTGGAAAGAGCATAACTTAAAAAGAAAAATCAAACATTAAGAATTAACCCAAATTATTTATCAGACAAAATATATTTTAAGCAATGTTTGCCAGTGGCCTTTCTTTCTTTCTTTTTCTTTCTTTATATATTTATTTTGGGTTCCTCATTATGTAATTTCTTTTTTTCAAAATTGACATTTTATTATTTTACTATTTACATTACAATAAAATAATAAAAAGTATTACTATTGTTGTTATTATTAAAATAAATATATACAAATAATATTATTAGTTTTTATTATATACATATAATACATTTATGAATATAAGAATATCACTGGAGTCTTTATCTCATGTGAGCCACCATCATTTTAAACACATTTTTTCACTATACTATTCATGTCTTTGGAAACTTTGCAAACTTTTGCATTTCCTGGCCCTTTAAGAGACTTAAACTGGTAAACTGAACGGCCAACAGTAATTACCAGCAATAATTAGAGTTGTGTCAGTGATGTGGGTCTCATGAACACGCACACAGCTCATCCACACTCAGTTATGACAAGAGACTTTTCCATCATCAGAATTCAATTCAATTCAATTCAAGTTTATTTCTATAGCGCTTTTCATTAGGGCTGTGTATCACCAGCAAAGTCACGATACGATACATATCACGATACATATGCCACGATGCGATACGTATCACGATACATGACTGCACAGAATTTCACCTCAGCAGAATTTAGAAAAACAGCTGTTTATTAAACACTGCTTACTATAGTGCCATTTCTAACTATTGGCAGAGCAGGCAGTTGACCTCTGCATTATGAAGGGCCTCCATAACTGTACCACAGTACAATATAGGTAATGGCATATGTTTCATGTTTACATTGGGCACTCCCCACCAGGTACAATATTCTGATTGTTTGCATCTTGTTTTTAAGCCCATAAATAATAACATACTTGTTCTAATAAATTTATATTGTAATGTACCCA